AATATAAACAAAAGCATTCATAACGTGTTGTGACTTGTTTCAATTAGGGTTCAAAATGTTAAATCATCTTACTGCTCTGTTAAAATTATAACATCCCATCATAACTCCCCAGAAGCGTTACTTGAGAGCTCATACCCCGTTGATAATGGCCGCTTTAAGCGAGTGTCATACGCACACACTGCACACAAAAGTTGTTTAAAGGTGACCTTTTGGAGGTTATAATATGACAAACGCTTTTAACGAAAGAACAATAACACATTTATTTATTTCTCGTATTTTCTTGTGTATTGTGTTTCTGAAAATATAAAGCAGGGAATAAATTACATCTTCGAGTATAATACGATCCCGTATTAAAACCAGCCCGAGGTTTTTCTTTTAAAAGTTGTACCATATTATCCATTAAAATCTCAGTGTCGTACATATATTTCACTAAAATATTTATTCTTTTCACAGTATTAAACAGCAGAAATAAACTTAATGTTTAGCTATTGCGTGTTTCCTCTTCTAATTTCCATTTCAAAACTTATTTTAGAACTTTCAGAGAAAGACGCTAACTAGACATACCTTGTAATACATTTCAAGGTGTTAATTAATCTTCTTTTTTTTATTTTCAATCAATTCATTCCTAGCAAGGTGGTAATGACACTTAGACTCAAGGGGCTACCGGGAATGAAAGAGAATGAGAAAACTTTAAAAGAATCGGAAACCCAATCCTAAACAGGAAACAAATGATAAACCTATTCAAAAGACCGGGGAGGAGTGGGGAAAAGACAATAGGCTTTTCTGTCTGATATAACTTTATTATGTTTCTTTATATTAATAATGGAAATAAATAAAAATATTGTCTTTCATTATGAATGAAGAGAAAAAAAAAACTTATAAAAAACATAAAAATCAAAATATAAACAATATCTTGTAAGAAAAACTGAGTACATTTGCAATCTTGCTGTTTCAAATAAGAGGTTTTTTAAAGCTGAGTAAAAATATTTTTGAAAACATGTACTTGTGTATAATACGGAACCCTCTTCTTTGCCTTTAAGTTTTGTTCAAAATTTCTTGTATTATACACAAGAAAATAAGCTTGTATTTTCCTTCTTGTCTCAGATTCTTTTAGTTCCTGTTTATCATTTAACCAATTTTTATAATTGAAAACGAGGCTTTAAAAAAGCATATAATTCGTTATTTTAAGGGGCTGATATCGTTAGAACTCTTTGTTTATAAAAATTGTTCTCTCTAAATGTAAACAGGATGTAAATACTTCAGAGGGAGTTTTTTTTTTTCCTTTCTTTTTTTCCTTTTCTTAAATAATTAGATGATTCACCTGGTTGTCGCTTGTAAAATGAAAGAAATGTTAGAAATCCCAGCTCCGGTGATTTTTGTGGCTGTTTCATTCGCGTTAATTACCTTAGGAAAATCGTCATCTTATCCTACGTCTAATCACAAGTCAAGATTAACAAATTGAAAGTTAACCACGAGATAACTCGTGGTTGGCAGTTTTTATTATGGCGCCTGCTATGAGTTACTACGTTACATTAATGTTCATTCGCAGTGATACTTTTAGTGTGAAAACAATCTTAAGACTACAGTTGAAGCGATAATCAACTTATAAATAATTTTTGCTGCTTAAGTAGACTATTATAAAGATTGTGTTTGAAGTCAGAGTTCGTAATTGACCTCTGACGGTCAACGTATTTCTTTTCATATTAATGCGCGCGTCTCTCATTAGGATCATTAGCTGGTGTATAACGTGGCATCGGAAAGTTCCCCGCACTCTACGTGCATTTCTTTTAACGTTAAATACGCGTGCAGCGGGCGCTCGTTGAGGCATAGGCGATTGCATCTACCAATAGTCTTCGAGTTCACTTATTAGTTTTCTAATGTTATGTTGGAACGGCTCTGTGATCTTTACAGCGACTGACAAATTCAGGCATTTCGTCAAAATGTGGAAGTTAGGTTGCAATAAACGTGCGAGGTCCCAACTGCATTGGAATAAACTAACACAATGTTTCTCAACCTTATTCTGGTCGTGACCCCCTTCACTCCCCTGCGAGTTCTTTATGTCCCCTCATGCCAACTTGAGTTGTTATCCACCTCCTCCCTCCCGACCCTCAGCATCTAGGGAAGTAGAAATATTAAAGGTTGTAGTTTCGATAGTACTATGGCATCAAAACACTAACTTCAGTTGTAAATCAAAGAATAATATTATTTGGATAAATATTTTATTTGAATAAACTCATTTATTTACAAAGCAAAAACCATCAGTTCTATCTTGTATAGTTTCAATGGGATCCCTTTGACTGGGGAAGGGCTGCCAAATTGTCAATGTTTGGCTTGAAAGCTTTCAGAGAGATATAAATCGCATCTTTTTTTCTACGATAAGACGATTTCGAGTCTTTGACAGCAGACGCATCATCCAGCTGAAACCAAGTAAGATGTGGGAAAAGCGAGTGAGAGCAACTTCACATCTTTCCAGAGTAGTGGGGTAATTCTTATGCATGTCTTCCTTCATCCACCGCTTCTGGTATCCTCCTCGCTTTAATCTCGCTTGAGCTACTTGTGTTATTTTGAAGTCCAATGAAACTTTCTTGTAGAGTGATATCTACTTCAGATGCATCAACAATGGCAGGATCCACAAACCAGAAAAAAAGATAAGAAAAGAAAAATTGAAAAACAATTTGATGAAAAAATACCTTAAAATTTAAAATTCATGATTTAAAGTTTAAATTAAGAAATTTTAAACTAAAAAAGGCTATTTTGCATAGATCAGATGAAAAAATTGCAATAAATAAATATTTATTTTAACAAAATGGCTTAGATTAATTTAATATTTAACTTGATAATTAATTTAATATTTTATTTTAAATAATTATTATTAATTACAAAATATTTCATATATATATTTTGTGGATCCTAAATTATCCCTACCCCCTCTTAGCCCCCCCATTTTCAAACGTGGCCTCTGAAAATATCTCATGGCCCCCAGAGGGGGGGCATATGGCTTACGTTAAGAAAAATTTGAACTATCACGCCATGTACCTATTTTGTTAGTGTCTATATAAGAGGTGTATTTAGGCAGCAAGAATTATTTTAATCAAGTTTTGTTAAACAATACCGAAAACGTCTGCCTGTTCAACTTTTTCATTTTTTTTTTTTTTTTCATTTGTGTATTTTCAAGAGATTCCCCTTTATTCTGTTTATGAACATGTGTTTGGCCAATTTCAACCTTCCCACGCTTGTTGGAACCAAATACAAGTCGCTTAAAGGTGACGTCATTTATTAATGACAATAAGATAAGCCTTTTTAAGTTTTATACTATATACTTAACGTATATGTTTTTACCATTAGATGTATATCTATAAATTGTGTTTTTCAAATATTTATGTTATTGGGCATTTGATGACAAAAGAATAAATCAATTATATTTTTTTTATAATTCTTGTTCGTATTGCTATTCGTATGCTAAATATTTTTAGGTCCATTTTAATTTGCTATGTAATCATATCATTTCGAAATCTATTGTTAGTGTTTGTTTTATGTGAGTTATAGAATAATTTAATTAAGTGAGCTGTGTTAATTATTTTTTTCTAAGAGCAGCTATTTTGTATCTATAGGGACACACTCTAATATAATTAAGGAGAAATGAATTAGAATTAGTTCTTTTTGTATTCTGGAGGTATTAGAGTTATTGTTGTTAGAATCAATTAGAAAATCTAGGAATAGAATTCTGTTATTAATATTCAGTTTATAATTAAATTGGAGAACAGACTTATTTTACATCGATTTTTTTTTCAATTTTCAATGGTTTTATCTTGTAGAAATATGTCATCTATATATCTAACATATATCAAAGGATTGTTTACATTTTCCAAAAACATTGTTTCGCATGTACAAAATGTAATATTCAAAAAATGTCGAAACAAGAGGTGGTCCCATAGCTATGTCGTTAGTTTCTTTGTACATATTACCTAAATGGCCGAAGAAAGTAGCTGTAACAGTAGTGCGTGGTAGAAGAAATTTGTAAAAAATTGTAGGATTTATATTGGGAGGAGAAAGAGAACAATGATTGTATGCATTTTTATATTATTTCAATAGTTTATTCTACAGGGACATGAGTAAAGTGAAATTCTCTCGCCATCTAGGGAAGCTAAAATGCTAACATTCAACCTTGTGGTACATGGTCCATTCAACATTTTTATATGCTAAATTTATAGAAATTAATTAGTGGAGTTCATGCATTATTTTTAGATATGGGTGTATCATGTGATTGATGGATCTTGTTGATGTCTGATAACCTGGAAAAGGAATCTGAGAGATGATAAGTACAAAGGGTTGACAGTCGAGGTCTGTATGGTAGCCGTCATTGTAACGAGTGAGCATCCATCACATCGTACCATTATAGTTTTAAGGTGTGCTATATTTATGGGATAAAGTGTTCAATATCAGAGATAGAGCGTATGTAAATATAAATATAAAAGTGAACATTAAAGTCAACACTCAGAGGCGATAGGCTGTTTCATGCTGGACGCAATCGTCAGGCCGCCTGGCGATTGCGTCCAGCATGAAACAGCCTGTCGCCTCTGAGTGTTGACTTCAATGTTCACTTTATGTATATATATATATATATATATATAGAGAGAGAGAGAGAGATAGATAGATAGATAGATAGATAGATAGATAGATAGATAGATAGATAGATAGATAGATTGCGTTATTTTGCACAATTTATGTGGATTGATTGGTTTCTTTTTTATGGCTTATTAGCCCTTTGCAGGTTATTTAAAGCCAGAAATTATTTTAGATCAAAAGAATTTGGGGGAAGCAATAGTGAATTACTGATACAAGTCATCCAAATTAGCACATAGCGGGGATGGGAGTGGATTCATATCTCTCCCAAGAGTATTTGTGCATAAGTGACTATAACGAACTCCATTGGAATTGGAGCTCGGCTATCCGATTTCTAATTCCGAGCCGTCATCCATTACACCAGCCACACATCCAAGCTTACAGCACTTGGTATTCCAAAGCGGTCACCCATCTAATTACTGATGAGGCTCGATGTTGCTTAAGTTCAGTGATCGTACGAGAACCAGAGACGTGAGCCAGAACTTATGTCGAACCAAAGATTCAAAGCCTCACAATTTTATCATTTTTATCACCAAATCGCAACGGATTTATAATCTGATTAATATTATTTGTATTAAAATGACAACATCTTTATCAATGTTGATTTTCTTGGTTCTCGTAACTTTACGGATGTTCAGTTTTAATTTCATGAAACAAATTTTAATGAACAGGAAGTAAATATTTGGTGTTTTGAAGCGGGGGTGTAATAGCGCCGTCTTTGCTGTCCCTTCCGTTGGAGTTTATAAGTCGGCGAAACAGGTTTAACTTCCGCCTTCCAATTTCCGACTTCCGACTATTTACATTCATTTTGTAATAATGTTCTTGTAAAATGTATAAATCTCCTTTACGCTGTGCTCTGTCCCATTGTCAGATATCTCGATAAAACATTTCCAACATTAGTATGCTTTGGTTTTTGACGAAGTTTTGTCGTTGAGTGAGCCGTTTGAGAAAACAACAATTTTATAACTAGCAGCTGAAAATATTTACTTCCATAGTCATAGCTAGAAATGGGGGCGGTTCGTCACAAGCGACTCTTTATCGGGTGGGTGAGGCAGTACTGCTATATAAGCCTGTATAGAAAAAGCGAGAAAAGTTACTTTGTAAGAAAGTTATAGCTTTCATTTTAGAAATAAAGGTGGTCCAAATTTTTTACATTTTTTAAAAAAATTTTTTCCCCATATGTTGAATTTGCTTTTTGTTTGATTGTTAGTTTCAAAGTCTAAGTATGTCTGGCTTGTATTTCAAGCATACTAGTATATTTGAGTAAGTGAAAGTAATATAATTGTACACAAACTCGTAAGTAATTTTATTGCGCCTTCCCAGATAAACGTTTTCCACCGACATGAACTGGAAAGATTATATTGAACAAATTGCTAGGTCTGCTGTTAGGAAAGTTGCTTTCCTGTGTCATGTTAGACATTTTTTCTCGCCAGAATCTATCTTGCATATTTATAAGACTGCCATTTGTCCTTGTTTTGGATATTGCTGTCACATCTGGTCTGGCGCTCCGGCCATATATTTGAAGGTTCTTGATGAATTCCAAAGAAGAATCTGCAATGTTATCGGTCCTGACATGGCATCTCGCCTTCGGTTACATCTCCACCGCTTCCCTGTGACTTTTCTATAAATACTGTCACAGTAATTGTTCTGATGAGCTTTCTTCTTTGGTACCTACTACCTTTGGGAACAGTACTAGATTGACCACACTGTCTCATCGTTTTACAGTTGAAATTTCTAGATGTAACCGTAAGTTCTATGCAAGCATTTTCTTCTCTCGCACTTCTCACTTGTGGAACTCTCTTCTGTCTTCTTGCTTTCCAGTCAACTTTGATCTTTAAACATTTAAATGCAATGTCAATCGTTATCTTCTGTCTTCTTAATTCTTGTTCTTTTATTGTTTGTTCTCTCTCCTTAATAGTGTTTTTCTCATATTCTTTCACACTGAGTAACCCCTTGCGTTTTAGTGGCTTTATTGCCTTGCTTGGGGTGAATTAAAATGTTTGTTACTTAGCTGATTGATGTTACCTTCATTATGTTGATTGATGTTACCTTTAGAGATTTGTAGACGGTTCCACTCGTCAGGATTTATGCAAGGGTTGCACTCACTCTGTTCCAGAAGGCACACACTGTAGCTACACCATTGGAAGAAGACCTATCATCTCTCTTTTGTTAGCAGTTAAATGAGTGCAACAATTAGCTTCTACTCTCGAATTGAAGAAAATATGATTCATACCAGAGTTAGATCCGTAGATATACGCCTCTTATTCCCAGTTCCGTTCATACGTTTTTCTCCTTTTCATGCCCTTTTTGTTTTCTGTCATCAACGTGTCTATTTTTTAAATTTTCTTCTTCTTCTTCTTCTTCTTCTTCTTCTTGTTTCTCAATTCACCTTCTTGTCTCTTTTTCCAATTTTCTTCCATTGTCCTTCTACTTTCTACTTTCTTTCTTATTTTTTCTCTTCCCCTTTCCCTTCCTTTCTTTTCACCTTTCTTTCTTTTCTTTGTTACCCCACCCTTCCCTTATTTGTTCTCTTTCTTTATTCCTTTTTTCTTTTATTATTTCTCTGCTTCCTCCCTTCCTCTGTCGAACATTCTTCACTCTTTCTTTCCCTTCTCCTTACTCAATCTCTCCCATTACTTTCTGTCAAACATCCTTCCTTTCTTTCATCTTTCCTTCTCTTTCCTTTTATCATTTGTCTATAGTCATTTCTTTATCGGTCGTTCGTTTCTTCCTTCTTTTGTTCCGTCCGTTTTTCCTTTCGCTTACTGTCTTTTCTTAGACATCCTTTTTTTTTTCTTTATCCTTTACATTCATTCCCTTTCTTCTTTCATTCATTTTCTTTTCATTTTTTCTTCTTCTTCCTTTCTTCTTTCCTTCTTTTATTTTCCCCGCTATTTCCGTTTCTCCTTTTTTATTTTCTTACTTCTTCTCCATTTATTTTCTCCTAGACATTGTCTTCTTTTTTTCCGTTTTATTTTCTCTTTCTTTCCTTCTCCATTTTTTTCTTCTTATTTACTCTTCATTTCTTTCTTTTTTTACTTAATCTTCATTTCTTCCTTCCTTCTTTTATCCTTACTACTTTTTCTTTTCTTTTCTTTATTCTTATTCTCTCGTCCTTTCTGTCTTCTTTCGTTTACTTCCTCCGACTATTGTTGTTGTTGTTGTTGTTGTTTCTTCTTCTTCTTCTTCTTCTTCTTCTTCTTCTTCTTCTTCTTCTTCAAGGTCATTCTTATTCTTTTTCTTCTTCAAGGTCATTCTTATTCTTATTGTTTCATCTTTCGTAAATTGCTTAATAATGCTTTAATTTCTAGCATGCAATCATATTCGACGCGCCGTTACACATTTTAAGTAGCACAATTTTTATTTCATGTGCAAAAGAATTTACACTTGAAGTGTTTTTTTTTTGTCTCATTTATTGTTTTTTTTTCTTTTTTGTCAACAATAATTAATCAATTCTTCGCATCCAGTTTCTTTCAGCCGATATTTTTTCTCGAAGCCCAACTTTTTTCTATACGCAATTGAAAGTTACGCAAGCGGAAGTCATTTCAAATCAACTTAACCCATGAATAAAAGTGAATTATTTCCTCATTATTATCTAAAATAGTGTATGAAGAATTAATGACGTTTTTTGGATTTCAATAAGAGTTTTATTGGTTACCAGACATCATATTGATTACGCAATAAATGTCTTTCCATTGAAATTGTCGATAATATACAATTGTAATGTCGTTCGTGAAATCAAATCTTAAACGTCGTCTTTATTATTTCTTTTGCTAATAAGTGCAAACCAAAATGACAATAAGACAGAAAGGGGTTCATTAAAAGCATAACTATTTCTCATTAAGGAGTTACATATAACAATAAAATGTATAGGCCAGCGTTAAGAAGGGCAACTTAAATTATCGGATTCGTCAGCAGATGAATAAGGATCGAAACAGAATCAGACCGAAAATAAGACAAGGTGTGCTTTTGTCAAGGACACTTGAATACGAAATGCTGTATTTATGATCAGAAGGATTTTGCAGAGATCAATACAAATGTAGAAGGATGCACAGTTTTGTTTTATAGATTCCGCAAAAAGAATTTGATAAGGTACGACACGAAGCTCTATCCAAAGTGCTAGGGAAACTAGATCTATTTGGGAAAGATCCCAGAATCATGCCGCCTGTATACAGATAGAAAAAGAATCGAGCAAGTAGGCGAAACTAGAAAGGGGCGTGAGATAAGAATGTGCATTCTTACCAGGATTTATTCTCGCTGGGCGCAATCTTAACAACATAAGATACACAGTGATACTGTGTTGATGGCAGATAGAGAAAGAAAATTACAGTACATCTTAGACAAGTTCGTAAAGGAGAGCGAGAAGAAAGGACTAATTGTAAGAAGACGTTGCATGGTTGCCAGCAAGAGAAAAAGTTCAAGATGCAACTACGAATTAAAGATGTCAAAATCAAGTAAGTAAATAAGTTTAGATATTGGAGATTTTTTTTAACAGAGGATGCAAAATATGACGCTGAAACCCAAATCTGAACTGCTATGCAATATCAATCCTTCTATATATTAGCGAATGCTAGAGAATTTCCTCACGGATGAAGAGAAGACTGAAGGGAACAGAAATATGGCTCTACAGAAGGATGCTGAGAATACCATGGGTGGAACCTGTTAGCAAGGAGATCTTATGGGAAATGGAAACAAAAAGGACACTTATACTCGAAATCAGAAAAAGGCAGCTGAAATTTCTGAGACACATAATGAGGAAGGAGGGCTTGGAAAATTTGACACTCACAGGATATATCGAAGGGACGCGGTGTTAGGACAGCGGTCCCACTAACAGACGGGCTTATACAAATGGATGGGAAAATGGGAAACGTGGGGGGATAGTAAGAATAAAAATATTACGAAGAACTGTGCAAGATAGGAGGTTGTGGCGAACCATGATCGCTTACGTCCTAAAAGGACACGGTACACAGTAGATTTGATTTGATTTGTTTGTTTAACGGCATATCAACTCCTTATAGATCGTTTAATGTTAAAATTTAATTTTCTTGTGAGTTTTGAAGAAATAATAAAAATACGATGTATATCATTGTTAAACTTGTAAGGTAAATGTCTTCAAATAATTGTCGGACTTTGTCCATTTAATAACGTGTACATCATTGTTCTTTCACAATTAAATGCATGGTAGGTGATACCCAGTTTCAATGCATCTACATTTTTTCTAGGAACAGGATTACCAGTGGCGGTGATATGTGTGTTTCATGTTGTAGTTTTGTTGAAGCTATATTTTGGAATACAGTTTTATTTCTTTAAGAAATTGTAAAATATATGAATTAATGTCATGAAAGATTTCTTTTATATTGGTTGGTTGGTTGGCTGGTTGGTTGGCTGGTTCATTTTTTAGCGGCGTATCAATCATTATGGATTATTTAATGCCAAAGTCTAAATATTTTGTATATGATTTCAACTAAA